AAAAAAAAAAAATGATGGCCACAAATGTGGTTGTCATAACTTGAATGTGTTGTAAATTGAGCACAGGACTACCTGCAAGGTGTAAGGATTTTATGGAATCTTTTATTTTCTGACATATACCTAACAACTGGCTATCTCTGGGTCTTTATATCCATGTATGCCAAATAAGAAGTTCTATGAGGCTATGATGGAAATTGTTCTTTTCGATTGTTCTACCAGAAAAAGTAGTTTTTTAATACTGCTGATTTCAGTTCAAGAAAATGCTGTTTACTCTTGTGTGTCAAATGCAAAGAAGAAAACTCTTATTTAACATTCATTTTTTTTCCTCAGAAAATATGTTATTTCCCACAAAGAAGAGATTCCACTTTGCGTGCATTGGGATGTAAACAACCAGGTGAAAATTTTATGATTTGGAGCTCTTCATGTAAAAAATCACATTTTTAAAAAAGCTGAAATCCTCTTGTTTAACTGCATTAGATCATGTTTACACAGGTTAGCTGAAAATATGGATGATAGCCACTGGTCATTTCAAAATGAAACAGAGTCAGACTCTGAGTAACTGGTTATTAACCAGTTGCTTCACTGCCTTTTTAAATTTTATCTTGATATAGTGGCTGTGACAATGGGCTCAAGCATGGCAATAATCGTGAGGATGGCATACGACCAGGCAGTGGTTAGTTCTTCTGTGCATAGGGTAGCTATGAGTTGGAACTGACTTGTTGACATCTAGCAACAGTTCCCAAACTACAAGTGTATGATCTCAAGTATATGCATTCAAGCAGCCTATACATTGAGATCCGATGGCCTATTATAATTTGTGCTGAATATCATGCTTACAACCTTATATTTTTATAGGACAACAGAGTATTAGTCCTTTTAAAGTTTTAGACCATAAAATTTAAATGGAAATCCAAGTTTATGAACTATAATCTGTCTTTACTCAGGAACCAATTAAAATAATAGCAATTTCTAGGCATACAGGACTTATGTTACCTTATCTGAATTCTGAATTAGGAGTTTGAGAGAGAAATTACAGTAGCTGCAGTTAGTTTAGTTCTAAACGCAACATCATCACTTTGACTCAACAGATACCTCTTCTAATGCTATCCATTTTCTAAGCAGAAAATATTTAATCACATGTCTGTGCATTGAACACACAGCTTTTAAAATATTTGTATTTTAGGTATCCTTGAGTAATGACAATGTGGAAGCTCTCAGAAAGCTAGCAGCCAAAAGTGGTTGGGAGGTTACCAGTGCTGTGGAAAAGGTAAGAGATATCTAGAAACATACACAACACATTGGGCAGGACAAATTTGTAGTGGCAGCAGTAGTTCTACTGCTGCTTTTAACAACGTAAAAAGTCTTTTGAGGGCCAGAACAAACAGCTAGGGCAGGCCAGGAAGCAGGAGTGGAGCAGTTTGGAACAACTAAGGGAGACGAACTTGTCTGTCAGTTTGTTGTACCATCGTGACCTGTGTGTTGCTGTGAGGCTGGAGGCTATGCCACCAGTGTTTCAAATGCCAACAGGGTTACCCAGGGTGGACAGGTTTCAGCAGAGCTTCCAGACTAAGACAGACTCAGAAGAAGGAAGAGGCCATCCACTCCTCAAAGAATTGGCCAGTGAAAACCTTATGAATAGCAGTGAAACACTGTCTGATATATTACTGGAAAACTTTATGAATAGCCCTGAAACATTGTCCGATATAGGGCTGGTAGATGAGCCCCTCAGGTCAGAGGCCCTCAAAATATAACTGAAAAACAGCTATTTCAAAGTATTAAAAAATACTTCAAATTATTTGAAAAATATTTCAAAGTATTGAAACAGCTATTTCAAATAGCTATTGGCTCAAAGTAGAGCCAATCTTAATGATATGGATAGAGTAAAGCCTTTAGAACCCCCATTTCCTGATGTGGCATGACTTGAAATGAGAAGAAACAGCTGCAAACATCCATTAATAATCAGAACATGGAATGTATGAAGTATGAATCTAGGAAAATTGGAAGTTGTCAAAAAGGAAATGGAATTCATAAAGATTGATATCCTAGGCATTAGTGAGCTGAAATGGACTGGTTTTGGCCATTTTGAATTAGAAAACCATATGATCTACTATGCTGGGAATGACAAATTGAAGAGGAATGGTGTGGCATTCATTATCACAAAAAACATTTCAGAATCTATCCTGAAGTACAGTGCTGTCAGTGATAGGATAATATCCATGTCCCTATAAGGAAGACCAGTTAATATGACTATTATTCAAATTTACACACCAACCACCAAAACCAGAGATAAGGAAATTGAAGATTTTTACCAACTTCTGCAGTCTGAAATTGACCAAACATGCAATCAAGATGGCTTAATTATCACTAGTGATTGGAATCAAAAGTTGGAAACAAAGAAGAATAACTGGTAGTTGGAAAATACAACCTTGGTGATAGAAATAACACTGGAGATTGCATGAGAGAATTTTGCAAGACCAGTGACTTATTCATTACAAATACCTTTTTTCAACACAGCTCTACACATGGACTTCACCAGATGGAGTACATAGGAATCAGATGGACTACATTTGTGGCAGTAGACTATGGAGAAGCTCTATATCTTCAGCCAAAACAAGGCCAGGAGTTGATTGTGGAACAGACCATCAACTGCTCATATGCAAGTTCAACTTGAAGTTCAAGACACTTAAAACAGGTCCACAAGAGCTGAAATATGAACATAATTATCTCCCTCTTGAATTTAGAGACCATCTAAAGAATAGATCTGATGCATTGAACACTAATGACTGAACACCAGAGGAATTGTGGATGACATCAAGAACATCATCCATGAAGAACACAAAAGGTCATTTAAAAGACAGGAAAGGAAGGAAAAAACAAAATGTATGTCAGAAGAGACTCCGAAACTTTCTCTTGAGCAAAGAGTAGCTAAAGCAAATGGAAGAAATGACAAGATAAAACAGCTGAACAGAAGATTTCAAAGACCACCTAGAGAAGACAAAGTCAATTATTATAATGAAATGTGCAAAGACCTGGAGTTAGAAAACTGAAAGGGAAGAACACACTAGGCATTAATCAAGCTGAAAGAACTGAGGAAAAAATTTAAGTCTTGAGTTGCAATATTGGAAGATTCTATGGGCAATACATTGAATGATGTAAGAAACATTAAAAGAAAATGGAAGGAATACAGAGTCACTGTATCAAAAAGAATTGGTCAATGTTCATCCATTTCAGGAAGTGGGATATGATCAAAAACCAATGTTATTGAAGGAAGCAGTCGAAGCTGCACTGAAGGAATTGGTGAAAAAAAAAGATCCAGGAACTGATGGAATACCCACTGAGATGTTTCAACAAACGGATGCTCTGCTAGGGCACTCACTCAGCTATGCCAAGGGATTTGGAAGACAACTACCTGGCCACCTGACTGGAAGAGATCCATATTTGTACCCATTCCAAAGAAAGGTGATCCCACAGAATGTGGAAATTATCAAACAATATC